GGGAGGACGCTGTCTGATTATAACATTCAGAAAGAGTCAACCCTTCACTTGGTGCTGCGCCTGAGAGGCGGCATGCAAATCTTTGTGAAGACTCTGACTGGCAAGACGATCACTCTTGATGTTGAGCCATCAGACACTATCGAGAACGTGAAGGCAAAGATTCAGGACAAGGAGGGAATTCCTCCTGATCAGCAGCGTCTTATTTTTGCCGGCAAGCAGCTGGAAGATGGGAGGACGCTGTCTGATTATAACATTCAGAAAGAGTCAACCCTTCACTTGGTGCTGCGCTTGAGAGGTGGCTGCTGAGTGGTGCAAGCTGCATCTTAGTTTAGGGAGCAAAATTGCTCGAGTTTTTGGCTTTTGACTTTCCGCCGAGTCGGTGTTCACATTCGATGTGGATACGTTCGGACTTGGTGGATTACGTTTGCTACCGCGTAGACAGGTTTTTTTAAACTTGTCAACAGTTGCAGCATCTGCAGCTGCTGTTGACACATAGCAGGTGGGAAATATTTTGCCAGTTGACTTGATTTGTAGATTTATCGTCGTTAGGTTTTGTAGCGTAGGCCGTCTCGGAGCCTCATTGTACGGCGATCCGCATGACACACAGGCACATAGCAGACCAGGGATGCCACGTTAGAGTGGGTGACGGTAGGAGGGCAAGTGGGGAATAAGCTCATCGCTTAATCGCAGGTGAACCGCGAGAGTGCTACGTTCATCCCATCTGCAGTTCAAGCCGTCAATTTAGGAAGTGACGGCTTTAGTTCCGAGCTGCCGTTGCCCCGTACAGTGGTAGTTGTAGTAGTAGCATAAATGGTGGTGGCACTCCGCATCTAAACTCGTTGTTTAATGAGCACGCGGTGTGCCACGACATAGTAGTTCGTAGTTCTGCAACGCTCCAGTGAACAACACATCGCGTGGAGAGCTAACCTTGCTCGTGGCTGACCGAATCGGCTGGTAGCCGAGCGTTTGGTGTCAGGGCGGTCGCGACTCTCGCAAACAGCAACAGCTACAGGCGTTGTCTTCTATAGGGACAGCCAGCGAGATACATAACTAGACGCAACATTCGTTGCCCCCACATGCTAGCTACGACTTGAAACAAAGTCATGTATGGTCCCGCCCCAAATAGTCCATCGCATAGTCCATCACCCTTTGTTGTTTAGGTGTTTGAGGCTGCGCGACAGCAGCGAGCGCACTCCACTGAGTCTCAAACATTTCTGTTGCGCATTGGCACGAACAGAGGATGGCGATGAAGCCAACGTGCCCTGCTTCCCAAATCCCCTACAGCTGAGTCGTTTAGCTGTGTACTGCGCCATGTTGAAGCTGCAGTACTCGATCCCCGCATGCAACAGGCTCTCGTTGCGTCTGTCCTTCATCGCAGCGGGGAAACCGCGTTAGAGGAGCGGCAGCCTTCACTCGTGAAAAGTGTGAGTTTGCATAGGGGGGTAAGCTCCTGGGGCCTCCACGAATTTGCGACTGGCGTAATCAGGTGTGCGGAGGCGGGAGGCTGCCAGCTGCTACCCTGCTGCTGCAGTGCAGATTAACACGCTGAAGGTTACTACCCTGTCGTCGAGGCGCACTCTATTGCTGCAGCAGGCGCCTCTTTCTTGTCCTCAAATCTGTTAGCACCTGTTGCATCGGGGGCTTCAGGAACTGAGGACTGTCTGCTGTTGCTGCTACTGTCCACTGTGCTTTCAGGCACGTCTGTCGCAGCATTTGCAGCGTTGGGTTCTTGGCTCTGCGTTTTCACGTCTCGCTGATGCAGTTCGTTCGCTCCTGTCTTCTCCCCACCAACAGCTTCAGCAGCAGCTTCAGTATGAAGACGTTCAGCTTTTGCATCCGTTTCGGCCTCATCAGCAGCACTTTCCGCTCCGTGAGCCGGTGTAGCAGGAGCTGGCTGACTGTTGCGGGCTTTGGCGTTTTTCTTCTGTTTTCTTTTGGATTTGGGTGCGTGCTTGGCTCTCCACTCGCGTACTTTCTGTTTGTATTTGTTAAAGTCCGCTGCGGCTTGCTGTTCGAATTCTTGTTTCTTCTGTGCGCCGAGTTCTTTCCACTCGTGCGAAATGCGTTGGGCGATCTCCTTGAAGCACTTCGGATGCCTCAGTTCGGGGTTTGCCGCCACCAACTCCCGCCGCCTGCCCACTGAAAACCGCATAAAAGCAGACAACGGCCTCTTTACATTTGGCTTCGGCGGCTTCTTCTTCCCTGCCTTCACCTTCTCTTGCTTCGCGCGACGCTGCTGCTCCAAAAGCGCCTGCAGCAACAGCAGCAGCAACATACAGAATGACGGACACGGAGATAAAGCAAAAACAAGCAAAAACATCTAACGCGTACACCGCAAAAACAGCTGATGCTGCACAGCAAAAAGGCCGCAGCGGGTGAGATCACAGCAGCAGCAGCAGCAGCAGGTAGTTGAGGCGAAAAAAAGAGGAGGTGGGTGTTGATGCTGAGGCACCTGTCTCGCTTTGAGATCTTCCATGGAGGTAATGGTGAAGTCTTTGTATTTGCGCTGCAGCTGCTCGATCTTCTTCTTTCGAAATGCGTCGGGGCAGTTCTCCTCCTAAGTAGAGTAAACAGCAGCACAGCACACAGTATTTTAATGATGCAGGAGACGGCGCTGTCTATCACCATTACTACTAGGTGCTGGACCCGTTGCAGCAGCAGCAGCAGCAAGAGCAGCAGCAAAAGCAGCAGCAAAAGCAGCAGCAAAAGCAGCAGCGGCAATTGATGTCGGTGTACTGACCTGTTCTTCGAAGTTGTCTTGCCAGTAGGTTTTGTCATAGGGGACGAAAATTTCTTCGCCATTTGCAATATCTCGCGTGGCCCTCAAAAAGACGCGAGTCCGCCCCAACTCCTCATCGAACCTAAACAACAGCACCAGCAGCAGCAGCAACAGCAGCAAAAAAGGGGATGTAAGGCGTGGCTAGCAGAGGAGAAATGCAATGAAACGGCAGCGAGAACAGACAAAAGAGAAGCTCCCGACTGAACAACGACAAACGAAGCGCAGCCTTTAAGGAGGTGATATACACGAAGAGATAGACAGAAAAACAAAAAGAAAAGGAATGGAGCAGAAATAGGTAGGAGATAACAGCCAAAAAGATATATATATATATATATAGTAACAAACAACAGACAGACAGCGACAACTCCCGCCCTAGGGTTTGCGGCGGACATGCGCACTGCACCGCATCAGCGCCAGAAAACAGCTGCAGCAGCAACAACAGGAGCAGCAACAACAGGAGCAGCACAAGCAGCAACAGTAGCAGCACAAGCAGCAACAGTAGCAGCACAAGTAGCAACAGTAGCAGCACGAGCAGCAGCAGCAGAAGCAAAGAGTGCGAGTGAGAGCAATGCACACCAATGGTAGAAAATGGAGTTATTTCCGGGGCCTCCGAGAAATTCGCTGCCGTCGTTTGCGAAGCTGGCGCCCCCAGTGCCGTAGTACGGCTCCTTCACTCCATCGATGTACAGAAAGCCCTTCTAAGCACCACAAAGCAATTCATATATCAGTATAAATATAAATATATATATGTATATATTTATATATTTGTATTTATGCATGTATATGCATTAATTAAAGCGATCGCCTCACTAATTAACTTGAGTTGGTTATGTTATTATTTATAATTGTTAATACTAAAAAAACAATTTTTATGCTTTCATAGTTCAACTCAATGCAAAAAATATGGCCAGCCGTTGCATGCAAAGCATTCATAGACACGAAATCTTTTTTATTTATTTGGTGAATAAATAAACCCATCCTTCAGCAAGTGCAGCAGCAGCAAGTGCAGCAGCAGCAAGTGCAGCAGCAGGAGGTGCTAGATGTTTAGAAGTTGGTATGATATACCTGAACAGCGACGATGTGGGAGGCCCTTCGTTTGTTGCGGAGTTGTTCTGCCTGCTCTCTGTCCACCAACCAACCAACAAATTCAGTGATCACCGCGCCCTTCGCAAAGCCATCACTCTTAGAACAAAATAAACCCAAACCTGCAATTACACAAACAGCAGCAGCAGCAGCAGCAGCAACAGCAGCAACAAAAACACACCCAGATATATCTTCTATACGAAAGCCACGCACAAACGCAAGAGACAAACGAAACGATCGACTCACGCAGCATAATACAACAATCAAATACAAATACCACTATATATATATATATATATATACATGCACAACAACAGCAGCAGCAGCAGCAGCAACGGAAGAAGCAGCAGCAGCAATTGCAGCAGAACGGTACCTGCCTTCCTGCCGAGAGTGCTTTTCTTTGTGATAACTCCTTCGCATAAATAACAGAGAGAGTTCAGAAAAAGTCTGGAGGCGCAGTAAACAAACAAACAAAAAAACAAACAAACAACTCAATAAAGCAAATATATATATATATATATATGTAGATATATATACGTGTATATACATACTGACAGAATAAAGTAATTAACTAATTGCAAACAAACAAACAAACAAAGAAACAAACAAACAAACAAACAAAGAAGAGCATCACCTGCTTCGCTTCGTCTCGGGCGTCTGCGGCCGGAAGTCCACAATTTTCCAATCGCTGTCCAAAAACTGAAAATAAAAATAAAATAAATAAATAAACAAAATAAATAAATAAATAAATAAATAAATAAATAAATAAATAAATAAATAAATAAATAAAAAGAATATCAACAGCAAATAAACAAAACAAACAAAACACACAGACAAACGAGCAGACAAACAAACAAAACAAAAATAATGAACCGTAGTAAATGCATAAAAAGAAACAAAAAAAGAAAAAACAAACAAACATGAAAACCAACATACAAATATATCTATCTATATACATATGCCTATATCTATATATATAGATATATATATATATATATATATATAGAGAGAGAGAGAGAGAGAGAAGGAAACAGAGACGGAACAAAGAACGACAAACAAAACAAAGAAAAGAGCAGTTTGTGCTGCTGCTGCTCGCCTTATTCTTTTTAATGGGTGGCCACGACGGGGCTTTGTTTATATCCAGCCACGGAGTCCTCACAAACTGACGCTTCAACCGAGCACGCTGCTTCGCCTCCAACCCCAAACTGCTGCTGCTGCTGCTGTTGCTGCTGCTGCTGCTGTTGCTGCTGCTGCTGCTGCTGCTGTTGCTGCTGCTGTTGCTGTTGCTGCTGCTGCTGCTGCTACTGTCGCTGGTGCTGCTGTTGTTGCTGCTGTTGCCGCTGCCAGGAGAAGTCGCGTTCGGTTCCGCTGCTGCTGGGGAACCTTCAGCTGCACCTGCAGCTGCTGCAGCTTCTTCAGCAGTTGCTGCACTATTGCTGCTGCTGCTGCTGTTGCTGCTGTTGCTGCTGTGTGAGCTGGTCTCTACGCATGCGCCGTCACTGCGTTTGCTGCTGCGTCGCTGCTGCTGCTGCTGCATGTCTTCTACATCATGCTTCTTGCCGTCCGACTTCCCTGTCTCGGCTTCGGTTGCTGCTGCAGCAGCTGCTGCTGCTGCCACTGTGTGTGCTCCTTCTGCTGGGGTCTCCTTCGTTGCTGTGTCTGTTGTTGCTGCTGCAAGTTTCTCTTGCTGCTGTGCTGCTGTGGTGAGCCCTGAAGCAGCTGCAGCAGCAGCAGCAGCAGAGGGATGGGGGTTGTGCTGAGTGTCTCCTGCAGCAAATTTGTCTCCCATTTTATTAATTATATTATTATTAACCGTCTGCAGACTTCCGTTATAAACTGCGCCTCTGAATTTGCTGCTGCTGCTGCTAATGAGGATGAGGGTGTGCGCTGCTGCTGTTGCTGCTGCTGCCGCTGCTGCTGCTGCTGCTGCAGAGCAAAGGCAGCAGCAAGCAGTGTAAATAGAGAGCGTAGATGATAAATAAACGATAAATAATATTAAAAAGAGAAAGGGAAGAAAAAGAAACAAAGACGCAGCAGACATACAATCAGATCTGCAGCCACACAACCAACTCTATAAACACACTCACCGCCCCCTAGCTGCTGCCTATTCGGGTGTATGTACAGCCTAAACTATTTTCTCTCTTCTATATCTTCTTTATCTAAGACAATCTCCCCCTAGTTATATACTTCTGCTAGCCCTACCCAACCCGCACACAAGCTCCTACAAACCCTAAACCCTAAACCCTAAACCCTAAACCCTAAACCCTAAACCCTAGCATCCCCCGGAGGGCCTTCTAGGGAGCTACTGAGTAGACAGAATTAGACAAATAAAAACAAATAAATAATAAAATGTATAAAACGACCAACGATTATTCGTTTGTTGTCCTAAAACCAAAATAAATTAATAAAATCCTCCTCTATTATTATAGGCTGGCATCTGCTGCCTCAGCAAACATGCTGCAGCACCAGCAGCAACAACAGCAGCAGCAGATGCTGCTGCTGCTGCCGCCTCTGCATAATCTATGGCTACAGGAGTGAAGAGCTGCTGCTGCAGCTCTACAGCTCGTAGCTTCGCATGCAGACGGCTCAGCATGCTGCTGTTGCTGCTGCTGATGTTGCTGCTGCTGATGTTGCTGCTGCTGTTGTTGTTGTTGTTGCTGCTGCTGCTGCATTTAGGGATGAATTGCTGCTTTGGCTTTCGACCGGAGAGCTGCTCTGTGCTTCCCCATAAAATCTTCTTTCAGCTCGCTCCGCTGCAGGCGCAGCAACGACGCAGCCTGCAGCAGCAGCAGCAGCAACAGCAGCAGCAACATTAGTATCAGCAGTAAGCCGCCATATAGCAGCAGCAACAGCAAGACGAAAGAGCTAACTAAACCTGCATCCGCACTGACGAACGCAGCAACACCAACACCAACAAACGCAGCGGCAGCAGCAGCGACAAGCGCAGCAAGAGCAGCAGCAACAACAAAAAACCGTAGCAACGACTAAAACAGTAACAGCAGCAGCAGCAACAGAAGCAAAAACGACGAAATACGCATCAAAAAAACCCAGCAGCAGGAGCAGCAGCCGCAACGCAGCAGCAGCGGCAGGCACAGGAGCAGCAGCAACAAGTCCAACAGCAGCAGCAGCAGCAGCAGCAGCAGCTAGACAGTCCCCGCACCTCTCTGCTGCTTCGTTGACTGACGAATGCGGGAATTCGAAAATTCAAAGCCGCAGCACAGGAAGGAAGTGAGAGTCGCTGCACTGCTGCGCTGCTGCTGCTGCTGCTGCTGCTGCTGCTGCTGCTGCTGCGGTCGCCGGCTGCAGCTGGCCTGTCTGAAGCTGTTGCATCTGCTGCTGCTGCTGCAGATGCTGCTCCTGGTGCTGCTGCTGCTGCAGCAGATTCACCGAAGAGGCTTTTTGCCCATTCCAGAGGGTCTATTGCTGCAGGGGCTTCCACCTGCTGCTGCTGCTGCTGCTGCTGCTCCTCTTCTTCGTCTGTCGTTGCATCTGAGTGCCGCTCTGTCTCTGCTGCTGCTGCTGCTGCCTGCGCTGCTGCTCTCCGCTTCCTTGGCCGCTCCTGCGCAACATCTGTTGCAGGGTCGTAGCTGAAACAGCAACAGCAACAACAGCAGCAGCAACAACAGCAGCAGCAGCAGAGGAGGCACAAAGAAATGCAGAAGTGGCTCCAGCAGCAAACATCAAGCAGCCAGAACTGCAGCAGACGATGTAAACCTCCCCGCTGCAGCAGCAAACTACAACAGCGAGATCAGCAACACTGCAGCAGCAGTAAAAGAGCAGCAGTAACAGCAGCAGCAGCACGCCCAGCAGCAGCAGCAGCAGTAGCAGTAGCAGCAGCAGCAGCAGGACTGCTTACCGGGGTACAATGAGCTGCGAGTAGTCCGGCTCCACCATCGTAGAGAGGCAGCAGCTTCTGCTGAGATATCTTCTGCTGCTGCTACGCTTTCCGCAGCTGCTGCTGCTGGGGGTCGTGTTGCTGCTGCTGCTGCTGCTCGGGTTTGCGCAGCTGATGCTGTTGGGGCTCGTGTTGCTGCTACTGCTGCTGCGGTTTGTGCTGCTGCTGCGGTCTGATTTGTTGCTGCTGCCGCCGCTGCTGGCTTCTGTGCTGCTGTTGCTGCTGCTGCTGTTGGGGATTGTGCTGTTCTGCTGCTGCTGCTGCTGGGTCTTGCTGGGTGGTAGCGCTGCTGTTGCTGTTGGCGTTTGCTTGTTGCTGCTACAATGCAGCAGCAGCAGCAGCAACAGCAAGAAGAGGCAGTCAGGAGACCGAGAGGGCTGCCGATTGCTGCAGCGGGTGGGGCCTCGGCGCTGCTGCTGCTGCTGCTGCAGCAGAAGCAGCAGAAATGCACAAGACACAACAGCAGCAGCAACAGAAGAAAACCGATCTAGAAAAAGAATTGCAGCTTCTCAGCAGCAGCAGCTGCTACTGCTGCTAACGCCCGACTACCGTCGATGCTGCGACAGCAGCCGCGCAGCAGCAGCAGCAGCAGCAGCAGCAGCAGTTGCTGCTGCTGCTCGAGACAGACAGGTAGCACAAACCAATTATTTCCTTCAAATATGTACAGGTATTCCTATTTTTGTATTTTTCTATAGCAAGAACGGCTTCAGCAGCAGCAGCAGCAACAGCAGCAGCAGCAGCAGCAGCCATTGACTCAACAGCGGGTCCCTAGGCCAGCAGCAGCAGCAGTAGGCGCCGGAGCAGCAGCAGCAGCAGCGTGATCAGCAACGGTTAGGACAACTGAGGCAGCAGCAGCAACGGAGCCTGCACCAGCTGCACCTGAAGCAGCAGCAACAGCAGCAGCAGCAACAGCAGCAGCTACAGCCGCAGCTGACTAAGGGTGAGCGGACTCGACCGCTGCGCACAGATATCGGCAGCAGAGAGAAGCCTTTCTTAGGGCTGCAACAGCAGCAGCAGCAGCAGAACAGCAACTGCTGCAGCAACGACAACGCCAACAACGGCTCCGTAAAGTTCAGTCGGCAGCAAGCAGCGCAACAGCAGCAGCAGCAGCAGCAACAGCTCCAGCAACAGCAGCAGCAACGACAGCAGAAGGAACAGCACCAGCAGCAGCAACAACAGCAGCAAAATGAGGCGAGTACAGCAACAACGCACGGACAGCTGGGAAGACAGCCCTCCTGCGTCTCCTGCTGCTGCTGATGATGATGACCCGCAGCAGCAGCAGCAGCAGCAGCAGTTGATGCTAGAAGAGCTGTTGGAGGAGAGCCCCAGGGCCCTGGCTATGCTGCGCAGCAGATCGCGGCTTATGTGGTCGCGGAGCCTAGACGAAACCCAGCAGCAGCAGCAGCAGCAGCAGCAGCAGCAGCAGCAGCAGAAGCAGCAGCAGCAGCAGAGGCGGAGGCACACGGATCTGCACGACAGCGACAGCCTCACGTCCTACGATATCATTCGGCAGCAGCTGCAGCTCAACGAGCTCAAGGCGCAGCAGCAGCAAAGACACCTGCTGCAGCTGCAGCAGCAGCAACAACTACTGCAGGATCAACAGGCACAGCCGCTACAGTACCGGGAGCCGGAACAGCAGCAGCAGCGGCAACAGCAGCACCAGCAGCTGCAAGAACGGCAGCAGCAGCTGCTGCAAGAGCAGCGCCAGCAGCAGCAGCAGCAGCAGCAGCAGCAGCAAGATGAAGAGTTGAGTGGTTCTGTGCTGGCGCAGACACTGGAGCAAGACGATGCGGCGTTGGGTTTAATGCGCCGACAGTCCCGAATGCTCTGGTCTCGCAGCATCGAAGCGCAGCAGCAGCAGCAGCAGCAGCAGCAGCAGAAGCAGCAGCAGAGACGCAGCAGCGTCGTGGGCGAGCCGAAACATCGCCGCTATTTTGCTGCGGCGAACTCCACGGACTCGTTGGCGTCTCTTCAATCACTGCAGCAGCAGCAGCAACAGCAGCAGCTGCAGCGCGCGCAGCAGCAGCGCCAGCTATCGCGGCAGTACACTGAAAGAACAGCTGCAAGAGCAGCAATTCCAGCAGTAACAGCAGCAGCAGAAGCAGCAGCAATGTAAATGCTGCTGCTGATGCACCTGCCGCTCCCGCAGCAGCTGCTGCAGTTGCTGCTGCAGCACATTAGTGCTGCAGGCAGCAGCAGGTTATTTCGAACAGCGCAGTGCTTTCAGTCTAGGCTCTTTTGCGCCCATACAAACCCTAAACCCTAAACCCTAAACCCTAAACCCTGAGGGTTGAGTTGAGTAATATGTGCAGCCAAACAGCCAAAGGGATTCACACAAAAAGCTGACGGCCGTACAAACCAAATAAATATACGTAGATATAAATATAGCAATTATGTAGGATATAATATATATATATATATATATATATATATTAGTATATATATATTATATATACAATATATATTATATTATATTATATATATTATTATAGATTAATATATTATATTATATATATAATTATATATTATATATATTATATGTTGGGTTCGCCACCGCAGATGAGTCAGGTCTCGTCCCTCGCAAGATACAAATGTATATATATATAATATATATATTATATATATACGTATATATATATATATATATATATATATAT